TTACCGTTCCTTCTTCGCAAGAAATCCCCCTGTGGGGGGACATGCCCGACCTCAGAGTAGGGCCCCCGTTCGCACAGTTTTGCTCCCGCGGCGAGAAAGATCCAGGCGCCGCCACGGCGGGGCATCGGCACGCGGGCTCCCTCCGCGGGGCGTCCGCCCGCTCTCCTCGAGACCAGCTGCCCGAGGCGGCCAGCGCGAGGGCAGGAAGGGCGCTCCGACCACTGCGCACATGTCCTCCCAAGGACAAGGGAGTGCACAGCTCCTTCGCATGCGATTCCTCACCCCCCATCCCCCAGTTCTCCCTCCGACATCCAGTCGCTCAAGGGGAACTCGGGGGGAGACTTGAAGGCACCCCTGTCGAGGATGGGCCCCCCCCCATCGGTTTTTCCCGAGTTGGGCCCTGTTTGTCCAGTGGATAGGCCCGCAACGACAGCACTGGGGTTGCATTACCCCCGTTACGCATGTCCGTGCAAAAACTGCTCTGTCAGCGGGCGCAGATCTGCGAAAGCCGTCGGGCGCCAGTCGGGCTACAGCCCGTGCAAATACAAGGGAGTCGACAGGTTGTTATTGGCCGCTCATGCAGCACACCTCGCACGGCTTTTATGTATACGGCAACTGGCTACAAGACAGGGGTACCAGCTTGCGTTTCGCATTGTCTTTGACAGTTCTCTGTTTCTGCACGGCTTCTTTGCTCTGGATCTTTGCTTTTTGATGGCTGGCCAGATCGTCGGCTTCACCGCCCGAGCCGCCGTCTGTTGCATATATCCACTCAAGGGGCGCTCGGGGAACTCGGCATGATTGTCTGGAGGCCCTCGCGCCCGATTCTCCAGCTGCGTGGCGAGGGCAAGATCCCGCCACTCCTGCGTTTTGTCGGGGTTCACTCTCCTCCTCCTCCTCCTCCTCCTCCTCCTCCTCCTCCTCCCCGCTCTTCTCTTGGTCGCCCCCCCCCCCCCCCCTCCCTTGCCGCACACAGCGTGGCGCAAGCCGGGGCCGGGCTCGCCACGCGCCGCGCGCAAGCGCGCCCATGGCGGCGCTGCTGCCGATGAGCGGGCCAGGCGGCGTGGCCGAGGAAGGGCCTCCCGAGCCGCGCGGCTACGCGCGCGTGCCGCTGCAGGAGCCCCTCGCGCCCCGCCCCGCCGCCAGGCTGGCCGCCCGCGCCGCGGGTGCGGCCGTGCTCCTCTCGGCGGCGGCTGTGGCCTGCCTGGCGGCGCGCGGCCGCCTCGAGGCGGCGGCGGCGGCGGCGGGCGCGGCGCTGGCGCCGCAGGCGCGCGAGGCGCTCCTCGTCGTGCGGGGCGGGTGGCCTCAGAGGAGATCTCGATGGGGAGAGTGTACCGACACCGCCGTGCGTCCTCGAGGGTCCCCAGCACCACGGCTGGATTCCCCTTGGAGTTCCGGCCAGGACGCGCCCCTGGAGAGAGGTCTGGGGAGTGGCGGTATATATCCGTGCCTTCTTGTCCCCCCCAAGGCCTGCGCGCCACAGCAGGCCCGCGGCCGCGGCCGCGCAGGCGCCGGCCCCGACCGCCCCGCCGCGCGCGACCGCGGACACGCAGGCGCCGGCGCCGACCTCTCCGCCGCCAGCGCCGACGCCGGCCCCCACTCCGGGGCCGACACCCGCGCCCACGGCGGCGCCCGCGCCGGCCGCCTGCGCCGCCTCCGGGGAGCAGTGCCTGGAGAGCAGGTGCTGCGCGGCCGACGGGGAGCGGTGCTACAGGAAGGACGGGGAGTTCGCCGGGTGCCTGCGCTCGTGCGCGCCGGGCGTGCACGACGGGGACGCGGAGCCGTACCGCACGCCCTGGAGTTGCGAGGCCCTGGGGGAGCGGAAGGAGCCCGGGGCGTGGCCCCACGCGAACGCCGGCTGCTTCAGCTCGAGGAGCAAGCAGCGGCAGAGTCAGAATTCCTCGGGGGCCCGCGCGTGTTTCTGGGATGGGCGCCAGGGCCCCCGGCGCGCCAGGGCGGGGCATCCAGCGCCGATGCAAGAAGTCAGCGCGGGCCTCCGAGAAAGTGTGCTTCTGCCGCGCTCTGGTCCTCTATCGTCGTTGGAGAGGACGGCAGGCTCATGCTCCTGCGCCACGGCGGCTACCTCGACACCTGGGACATACCCGGCGGCACCACCGAGGGCGACGAGCCGCCGCAGGAGACGGCCACGCGGGAAACGTTCGAGGAGACGGGGTATCTCGAGGAACAACAAATTGCATGCGGAAGGTTCGCGCCGTGTCGACCTGCGGCGACCCCGCCGCTGGCATTCAGCGTTGGACGCCGCCGGCAACCCAGAATCGGTCGACGTGGAACGACCTGCCGTTTTGGGAACGGCCGATCTTTCGAGGTTGGACGATCCCCGCGGTGTCAGGAAGCAACGCTGGGGTCGACACGACATGAAGCCGCGGTCAACTTTCGGAGGTCGGCGCTGATTTTTCGGATCGGCGCTGGAGCCCCCTGGCGGTGCCTCCGGCGCCGCCCCTGTCGCGCTCTGCTCGCCAAGAAGGATGTGTACGCCATTTTTTGTTCCCCGAACATCGCGCCACCGCCAAAGAACTGATGCAGGTGATGCCGAACGGCTTCCACATTTTCCGCTGCGAGCTGGCAGAGAGCCAGCCGTCCTCTGGCCTTGACCCCCACGAGGTGGCGGAGGTGTCCTGGTTCTATGAGCCAGACATACCTGGGGGGCCCTGGCGCTTTCCGGAGGAGCAGGAGCTGTACCGGTCCTGGATGATCGAGTAGTGTTGCGGCGTCCGCCGATGTACTTCGGTCTGTCGGCGCTAGGGTGGGGATAAATTTCTGATTAAACATAATGCAACCTTAGCTATAGTAGCACAGTGGATCCGTGACCTAACTTGGGTCCCCGTTGTGGGGAGCATTCCCAAATCATATGAATGGCTTCGTCAGACACATCTGCAACAAGACCCCCCTTATCCCTGTCTTTCTATCTATATATGGTATACAAGGGGGCCTATGCGGCTTCCCCCTTCCGAAACGAGCCCGCCGTTTAAACAACGTTTAAACCCTGCAGTCATTTCGGCTTGGACCGCCCCAGACCAAGTGCCACTGGGCTGGTGGCGAGGTGCCTGTGGCCCGATGCCAGCCAGCGACAACCGCAGGCCGTGCTGGCCGCTTCTCGGGCCTGCGGGCCACCCACTCCCGCCGCGGTCCCTTCCTTGCCCTGGGGCCGCGGCGGGCGATCGCGCCGAGGGCGCTCCTCGGTCTCGGCGCTGCTGGGAGCTGGCGCGCCGGATGCGCAGGGGGGCGCCCGCATGGCCGTCCCCCCGCGGCGCCTGGTTCGACGCGCGGTCGAACGGCGAGCTGCTGGGGGGGCTGGTGCTCGGGCCCGGCGACCACCTGTTGGCGCAGGTCCGCGACGTGGCTGGCCAGGCGCAAGGGGTGGAGCTCCTGTGCGTCGAGGTCGCGTACGACCAGGACTCGTACGAGGGCGACCACGCTGCCGCCGGGCGCTTCGTCCAGGGCTGGCACGTGGGCGCGAGCGACGGCTGGTACGCGCAGGCGGTCGGCCAGCAGGGCGGGTGCCCTCGCGGCACGCTCTTCCACCTCTGCGGCTGCGCGCAGGAGCGCTGCGACGCGGAGTGCCTGGCCGGCGCCGGCGGGGCCGAGCACCTCGACGTCTGGCGGCTGGTCGACGAGCTCGACCTGGAGACGGTGACGGAGGGCCTCGTGCTGGCGCCGCAGCAAACCGGCGGCCTGCGAGTCACCGCAGGAGAAGGTTGGCCAACCCCCGTTGGCAGCGCTGCTGGCTCGGCCGACGAGAGTGGCCGCCGGCAGCCGCCGCCGCCGCTTCCGCCGCTGGGCCCGCCCTGCCGGAGGAGGAAGGTCCCGCCGCGGAGGAGCCCCCGCCGGCCAAGAGGCGCTGCGGCGGCCCCCCGGGCCCAGGCTCGCGTGCAGGGGCTTCCAGCGGGAACCCGCTGGACGACGAGGTCGCGGACCTCGAGCGGGCCCTCGAGGACCCCGAGCTGGGCGACAGGCTTGCGCAGCTGGGGCAGCGCTTGCGGGCTGGCGCCCCTGCGCCGACCGAGCAGCCGCCCGGCAGCGAAAAACGCGTCGGCGCTGGGTGCTGCGCGGGCCCTGGCGAAGCGGGCGGTGGAGCACTCCGCCGCGGTAGCCGCCGCCGCTCGGCCGGCCGCCCTCTCTGTCCGCGATCGCCTGGCCGAGGTGCTGGCCTCAGCGCAGCTGGGCGGCGATGGCGCGGGCGAGGCCGGCGAGGACGGGGAGGTCGCGCTGGGCCGCGACGCTTGCCAGGGCGTGAACGTCAAGCGCGACCTCTGCCAGAAGATCGCGCGGCAGCGGCCGGGCGTGCTGTCGGAGAGCGGGCTGGCGCACGTCAGGGGCCAGTTCACCCGGCTGCTGGCCGACGAGAGCCCCGTCGATCCGCTCGGCCCTGCGTCGCGCAGTACTCCAACGCGGTGTTCTTTATGGCGCGCCCACCGCGGACGCTGGAGGTGGACGAGGTGCGCGCGATGCGCGCCCTCGGCGAGGCCATCGACGGGCTGCTGCGCGGCCAGGTCGTGGAGGTCAGCGACTTGCTCTTAAGGCCAGGACGATGGCGCTGCGGGGTGGCCACTGGCGCAGCGCCCGTTGGCTCGCGCTGATCCCCAGCGAGAGCATGCCGGCCGGGGCATCGCTGGACGGCGGCTGCCGAGCGCGTCGAGGCTCGCGAGATGATGGTTGCAGAGCTGCTGAGGCGGCGGCTCGCCGAGAGAAGGCCGCCTGGGCGTGGGTCTGGCCGGGGGCCCTCCCCAGGCCGGGGGGGGGGCGGCCCCTGCAGGCCATGCCCTCGCGGAGGCGAGGGCCCAGACCCGGCGGGGGCGCCCGTGGCCGGCTCGGCCGGGGCGCTCCGGATCCCGGCGGGCCGCGCGCCAGGGGGCGAGGGCCGGCAGGCGGCGGGCAAGCGGGCAGCGGCGGTGCCGCCGCCCGCGGCAGGAGCAGGCGAGGCGCCAGTGCGCCGCGCGGAGTTGCGCGACGGCTGCTCGGCGCCCCGGACCGCCGCGGCGGAGGGGCACGGCGTGCGTGGGCCTGCTCAGCGCCGGCACTGGAGGAAGCTGGTGGCAGGTGTCGGCGGCAAGGGCTGCAGCTTTTGGCTCCAGCTGGTCGTCGCTCTGTGCGACGCCGCGCGCGGAGCACCAGGGGGCGCCGGGCGGTTCATCAGGAGAGTTGCGCTAGTGCAGCGCCTGCGCCTCGAGAGAGTTCACGAGGTGTTCCCGCCGCCGATTCCCGACGCCCCCGGTTTCCTGGCGCGCCGCGCTGAGTGGCTGGACCGAGGGGGGGTGGGCGCGGCTGGCCTGGGCGCGGCCGCGGCCGTGGGCTGGGCGGTCTTGGTCGTGCACGCGCTGAACGACCAGTGCGCGCGCGGGCCACGGCAAGGGGGGCACGGTGCCGAGAGGGCCGCCGACCGCCGCGCAGGAGAGCTCGACGCGCGCGATCAGGGAAGCTGCTGCCTACTTCGCGCGGGGCTCGGCTCAGGGCCGAGGTGGTCGCCGCGAGGGGCGTCGCCAACGGCGGCAAGGAGGTGCCGCGCGCGCTGGGCGGCGCGCTGCTGGGGCTGCCAGCGCGCGGCGTCGCCGCTTCAGTTCGCGCGCTGGACATCGCGGACGAGCGCGTCGCGGGCTGGCTCGCTGACCCTTCGCTCGCCCTGCTGCCGAAGGCCGAGTGGCCAGAGGAGGCCCCGCGGGCTGCAATCCAGGCTTTTGCTCGAAGGCGGAGTGGCATCGCATCGGCGCCAAGCTCGTGGAGTTAGGCCTCGCCGCGCCCATTGCCGACGAGCGGATCTTCGAGGTCGGAAACCTGAAGGCCCTCGCGGGCGCCTTCGGCGCGGCCAAGAGCGGGGCGCCGATGCCCGGCCACTCAGTGGCCCAGCGGCTCATCATCGACATGGCGCCCGCGAGCAGCTCCCAGAGGACGACGAGGGGCGACATCGGGGCGCTGGGTGCATCGCCGTCCTGGGTCGACATCCCCCCGCCGGAGGGCCATGTCCTGCTCTGGTCGTCTTGATCGGGCGTCGGCGTCTTACCGCTACGAGCTGCCCGAGGCCCGGCAGCCCTGCATGACGCTCGCCGAGGCCATCCCGAACGAGCTCATCGGCATTAGCGGCCCATGGCGAACACGCATTGCGCTGCGCGTCATCCCGATGGGCTGGGTCAACGCAGTCACGGTATTCCAGCACTGCCATCGGCGGCTGGGGTTTGGGCTGAAGCCGCTTGCCGCGGGCCCCCCGCCGGAGGCGGAGTGGCGGAGGGGCCGGCCGCTGCCGCTCAGGTCGAAGCAGCTGGAGCAGGCCTGGGTGCAGTATTACATCGATGATAGGGGCAGCGGTGAGTTCGCCCCAAACAGCCTCGTGGACGACCTCGCGGGGTCCGCGAGCGCGGAGCAGGATGAGCAGCGCGAGGCCTACGCGCGAAGCGGCATCAGCGTCGCCCAGGGCAAGGCGAACCACCTGGAGCTGATCCTCGAGCGGATGGGCGCCAGCGTCGACGGCGTCGCGGGCCGCGTGGGGGTCACGACCGAGAAGCTGCACCTCCTGCTCGAGCTCACCATGTGGGCAATCGGCCAGCTGGAGGTCACTGTTAAGGCGATGCTCGTGGTTCTGGACAGGTGCCGCCCTTTTCATTGGCTTCCTGAATGACTGCTGGGCAGCTGGCCAGTGGGCTCACCCGCGCGCGGCCCCGACGCACATGTGCGCCGAGCTACTGCTGTTCTGCGTGCCCACCCCCCCTGGCGCGCGCCGACCTGCGGGCCAATTTAAGATCGACGCGTGCGTGATCGCCGCCGACGCGAGCGAGCAGGCCGGGGGGATCTGCTACTCCGCTGGCTTCACCGAGCGCGGCTTGATGGCCGCGTCCGGATAAGGGGGGCCGTGAGTGCGAGGAGGGCCAGCGGCCTGACTTTCAGGCGCCGCAGACCGTCAGGCGGCGGCCGCGCGTCGTGCTCGTCGAGCTCTTCGCGGGGGCGCTGCTGCGGCCGCCGTGGCTGCGGCGCCCCACCTCGCGGAGGCGCTGGCCGGGCGTGATCGAGCTCGGCAACTTCGAGGCCATTGACTGCGAGCGCTTCGGCCAGGTCCTCGAGGGGTTCAGGCGCGACGCCGACTGGGTCGCCATCGCGGCGGGTAGCCCGTGCCAGGACCTGTCCTCACTGAATGAGATCGGCAAGGGCCTCAAGGGCGAGAGGTCGAAGCTGTTCAGGAAGATCCCCGAGCTCATCGAGGCTGCCGAGCGGGCGTTCGTCAGGTGCGTGGGCTGGTTCGTCGAGAACGTCTTCGGCATTGGCGTGGAGGCGAGGGGCCAGTTCACGGAGGCGCTGGGGGTCGTCCCGCTGCTGCTGGGCGCGAAGGATTTCACGCGCGTGCGGCGGCCGCGTCTATTCTGGTGCTCCTGACCCGCCGCTGAGCGCCCGCCGCCCGGCGCGGTGGGCGCTGAGACGGGCGATGGTCTCAGCCGCTACGTGGAGGTGGAGGTCGCGATGCAGCGTCGACTTGCCCTGCTTCGCCCGGCCTATACAGCGGCGCCACCCGCCGCTGCGCCCATCGGGGCTGGAGCGGGCAGCAGCTGCAGCGCAGGGGCGCTGGTTCAAGGATAGCTGCCGCTACCAGGCGTGCAACTACGAGGACGAGGTCCTCCTGTGGGACCGAGCCCGGGCGCTGGGCAGGCTGCCTGTTGCCGAGAAGCGCGGCGTTCTCATGGGGTTCGACCGCCGCTATTGCGAGGCTGCAGTCAAGGACAGCGTTGCGCCTGAAGAATGGGCTATCATTATGGAGGGTCTCATGGGCAATGCCTTCTGTGTCCAGTGCGTTACGTTCCTTCTTGGCTCTTGGCTGGCCCAAGTCGGGGCCCTCGCCGCGGCGCCGCCGGGGGAGCTTTGCGCGCGCGTCGGTGAGCGGGAGGCCAACTGGAACATCGACGCAGACTTCAAACGGCCAGGCCTCCGGCATCCCACGGCGGAGCGGAGCCTCATCATCGAGTTCCTGCGCGTCGCCGACCGCGGGGGCGCGGGCGTCAGGCTGGACTGCAACGCCCCGCGCAGGGCGCGCGCCTGGCCGAGGTCGGCGCTGCGGACTTCGCCGTGGGCCTGGCGGATCGTCGAGAGCTTCCAGCGGCAGCGGCCGGCCGCATCTCGCTGCCAGAGCTGGGGGCCTCCGTGGCAAGAGCGAGGTGGAGGTGCCGCGGCGTCGCCGAGCACCGCTGCCGCTACCTGCGCCTGCTGGATGCCCAAGCCGTCGCAGCCGTCTGCACCAAGTGCAGGTCGAGCGCGCGGTGGCTTCAGCCAGGGATCCGGCAGCTCAACGCGCTCGCGCTCGCGACAGGCTGCTACCCGAAGTACGGCTGCTGCGACGCCGACGACGTGCCCGCCGATGCGCCGTCGCGCTGGGCAGGCGCGCGTGGCAGCCAAAGCGAGGAGAGTAGCAGCAAAGGCGCCGGCGCGGAGGACTGCGGCCCGGAGCCGACCCCTTCGCGTGGCGATGGCGACGCCGCTCACGCGCCAGCGGTGCCAGCAGGCAGTCAACGGCGTCTTCGACTGGTGGCTGGAGCAGCAGCGCGAGGTCACGGCGCCAGGCCAGGCGGGCGCGGGCCTCAGGGGGCTCGCTGTTTGAGATGAACACCGCGATCGCTGGGATGTGCTACCACTTCCCCCTGCTGCCCGCTGGAGAGCTGGCGCTTGGCTCGGACGTGGCAGCGTCAAGAGCCAGCCGGGCGTGCGCTGCCCATTGGCCCGCTCATCGCGCTGGCGTTCTCTGGCGGGTTCGTCGTCGCGGGCTTCCCTTCGGCCGCGGCGGCGCTGCTTGCCGCGCGCGACGCCCACCTCCGGACGGGGGAAATTTTGGCTTTTCAGTGGGCAAACGTCACGCTGTATGAGAGCAGCGGCGCGGCTATGATCAGGCTGCGCGACACCAAGAGCCAGCGCCAGACAGGAGCTGGTGAGTTCGCGATGGCGCGCGCCCGGCTGGCGGTGCAGCTGCTGGCGACGGCGCGCGGGCAGCGCCGCAGCTCCTCGCAGTGGCGCGAGCAGTGCGAGGAGCGAGCGCTGGGCATGTCGCCGGCAGCGCTCCACCGCGTCTTCGCGGATATTAGATCCCTTCCGGAGCTCGACGGCCAGAAGCTGACGCTGCGCAGCTGGAGGCGTGGCGGCGCGTCGGCCGACTTCCGCGCCCACGGCTCGATGGAGACGACGCTCCTCAGGGGGCGCTGGGCGAACGTCCGCGCGGCAAGGCTGCGCGTGCAGGACGCCATGGCAGAGGCGACGACGCTCGACCTCTCGCCCGCCCAGTGCGCCCGCTGCCTGCAGCTGGCACAGCGAGTGCAGAATCTCTCGTTGTCTGCCCGCCCTCTTTCCCCTCCCCCGTCCTAACCTTCAAACAGGATAAGGGCATGGAAGAGGAGCGCGCTCAGAAGTTTACGTGGGATGGGGGTTGCTGTCGGGGTGTCCAGTTAAAAGTCCGTGGAGAGTAGTTGCCAGACCCTCGCCCTCGACAGGTCTTCCCAGGCGCGGAGTGTCCTTGCGGCTTCCGGGGGTGCCCAGGCGTGCCTTTCCCGGCCGGCGTTTCGCCGTGCGCGAGGGAGGGGCATGCCTGGCCCTCCGCCTGTGGGAGGCTTGTCGGGGGGGGGCTCGGGCCCCTGGCAAAGCGACTCCTGGCGGAGCGTTCAGAACAGGGGGGGATGCAGCATGCGGTATCTTTACAAGGGGGCCTATGCGGCTCCCCCCTTCCGAAACGAACCCGCCGTTTAAACCGCGCTTAAACCCTGCAGTCATTTCGGCCCCCTCGACAACGATCGAAGAGGCCTCTGTGAGAGGCTGGCGAGTAGAGGCGGTACTTGGCGTCTTCAAGCGCCTCGGGATCCGCCTTGCCAGACCCTCGCCCTCGACGGGCCCCTCCAGGCGCGGAGTGTCCTTGCGGCCTCCGGGGGTGCCCGGGCGCGCCTTTCCCGGCCGGCGTTTCGCCGTGCGCAAGGGAGGGGCATGCCTGGCCTTCCGCCTGTGGGAGGCCTGTGGGGGGGGGGGGCTCGGGCCCCTGGCAAAGCGACTCCTGGCGGAGCGTTCAAAACAGGGGGGGATCGAGCATCAATTTGTGTACATATATATATATATATTGCATGAATATCCTGGCTCTCCCCTGGTCTGAGTCTTCTGCAGTGTAGCTTGAAACTTGAGCTCAGGGAGCATGCAGTGAGGGAGGGTTAGGGGCATTATCAGTAGTAGCAGCATTTTGCACTCATCCGTAACTGTGATGGCTTAGTTGCGATTCGAGCGTTCGCATAAACGCTAATGAAGTGGCAGCGAGCCAGAGAGACGCCCCTGGCGGCAGCGAGAGCCAGGTCAGCAGCGCAATGGTGTCAAAGTGGGCACCAGACGTGTTCGATGGCACCCAAGAGGCGTGGAGGAGCTGGAATCTCAAGTTTCGCTCGTACGTCGGGGCCATGAACAAAGGTCAGGCGGGCATCTGGATGGACTACGTGGCCGCGAACAGGGACACGAGTGCCAAGAGGGCGGCCATCGATCCCAAAGCTCAGCCGAGCTCGCCCCTGCTGTACGGGAGCCTCATCGCCACGTGCGATGGAAAAAGTTTGACCATCGTAGAGCGAGCCGGCGAGGGAGAAGGGCTTGAGGCCTGGAGGCTGCTTCTCGCAAAGTACGACGTACAGACACGACAGACGCGGGTCATCAGGATGATCCAGATCCTGCAGTGGGATTTCAAGAGCGGCGACTTGTTGGACAGGCTTGAGGCTCTAGACCTGGCCGTGTCAAAGTACGAGTCCGCCACCGGGAAGGTGATCGATGACGACACGAAGATCGGCATCGTGATCAAGGGCATGGAGGCCGGCGCGCTGCGCGAGCACATGCTGTTACATTATGAGCGGTGTGTCACGTACGAGGAGTTCCGGGAGGAGGTGGACACCATCGCCAAGGCAAGGTCGCGTCACCTCGTGACAGCATCTCCGATGGATCTCGGAGCCCTGAAGCCCGGGAAGGGGGCAGGAAAGTGTTTCGTCTGTGGGAAGCCTGGCCACAAGGCGGAAGACTGCTGGAAGAACCCCAAGAACCAGAAGGGAGGCGGCAAAGGCGGTGGCAAAGGCCGCGGTGGCGGAAAAGGGTACGACAACGCACCCAGGAAGACTTGCCACAACTGTGGAAGGCCTGGCCACACCAAGGAGCAGTGCTGGGCACCAGGAGGAGGCAAGGCATCCGCCAAGAACGGCGGGGCAGCATCTTCCAGCAAGGGGGACTGTCACAAGTGTGGCAGGCCAGGGCACTTTGCCCGGGACTGCCGAGCCCCCAAGCACGTGGTCGACGCCTACCAGGCCAAGAAGAAGAAGGGACTCCACGAGATGGAGGGGCAGGGCGCGGAGGACTTCGGGTACCTGTGCTCGCTCTCCAACGACAAGGTGAGGCGCGACCGCGAGAACCGGTGCATCACCTTCAGGGTTGACTCCGGCGCCTGCAAGACGGTGGTGCGCCCCGACCATCCTGCAGTCCGCGGGCACCGTGCGTGGACGGATGGAGAGACCGGCCGGGTCTACAAGACGGCCGGGTCAGCCGTAGTGAAGGACGAGGGGAAGAGGATTCTCCAGACGAAGGCTTCTGGAGGGCCCAACGGCCAGCCACAGCGCCTGCGCACCCGGGCGGCTCGCGTCCGGAACCCGCTCATGGCCGTGATCGACATGTGCCGTGCGGGGCAGACTGTCGTGTTCGATTGGGACCGGTCGTTCGCCTACGACAAGGCCACGGGGCGCGAGCAGGAGTTCGTCCGCACGGAGGGCGGCTGGGACCTCGCCCTGGAGCTGGAGGCCCCGGAGGTGGCGAACGAGGTGCAGCAGGAGTACTTGTCCGCCTTGCGGGCGAGCAGGGAGACGACGAGCGTGGAGGAGAAGCCAGGCCCAAAGATCGTCAAGGCGGCGGACGGGGCCGTGCACATCTCCATGAAGCAGGACCAGCTGGAGGAGGTTCGGCAGCAGCCGGGACCTTTCTCGAGGCAGGGCGTTCGCCCGTAAGCCCTCCTGTGGCTGACGGTCAGATGCCTGACAGTGCTGGGGGCGGCGACGGTGCCAGCCCCAGCGGGGCCAACGTGGCCCGAGACAGTTTCACCCGAAACACACCACACACGGGTTTCACTTTAGCTGGGTGCGGCGGCGGTGACAGCCCTAGCAGATTCTGTGCGGCCTTCAACGGCCATAGAAGACCCTGTTGCGGGGCAAACAGTTTTCCTTTCACCAAAACCTGCACGGAAGCACAGGGCAGCGGCATCGGCGCCAGCGCCCACAATGCCCCAATTCAGCCGGGCAGCGGCGGAAGTGCTAGCGCCCACAGTACCCACAGTACTCGAACCGAGTACTACTACATCGGGGACCGAAGGAAAAAGACAGGAGGAGGAGAAGGAGGAGATGTCCATGATGATGATGACGATGTTGATGGCGACGACCATGTACTACAACCAGTAGCAGAGGAGAGAGCAGAGGAGAGAGCAGAGGGCAGAGCAGAGGAGGAAGCACAGGAGGATGTAGGGATGGAGGAGGAGTTCGAGGAAGAGGCGCTTGGGGAGAGGGCCCCGGTCAAGCCACGACGGCGGCCCAGACAGCCGAGCGCGCAAGAGATTGAAGATCACAATGTGGATCACTATCCGTACCGGGCCTGGTGTCGGCGCTGCGTGGCGGCAGCTGGGCGGCGAGACGGACTTTCCGCAGGAAGTGGCGAGAGTAGCGACATCCCTACTGTAGCTTGTGATTACGCTTTCTTCCGGGACGGCGCTCTGGGTCCAGGTGGGGCTTCGGCGGAGGATTCTGCTCCAATTCTGGTGGCTAGGGACAGCAGTGCTAAAGTCACGTTTTCTGACGTCGTCCACAACAAGGGGGCAGATCAACATGCAATCAAACAGCTGACTGAACATCTGGCTATGTTAGGGCACCCTGAAATTCGATTACGATCTGATGGGGGAAACGCAATTAAGGCTTTGATGGCAGCAGTGGCGGCGGAGGTCAGGAAGTTAGGTATTCGTGTTGTTCCCGATCTTACGCCACATGGGGATTCACAGGCAGGAGGTTTGCAGGAGTCAGCCGTGAACATCATCAAAACGAAAATCCGGTGTCTTTGGCATTATGCGGCGGAGTTGCACGGCATCCCGCAGGAGGAGCGGTCTGCGCTCTTGCCTTGGTGTGTCCAGTACGCTGGACAACTCATCAGTAGGACAGTTGTCGGCAAAGACGGTCAAACCGGATGGAGGCGAATGACAGGGAGGCTGAAGTTCCCCAGGCCTTTGATGCCATGGGGTGAAAAGGTCCACTTCATAGAGGGCGGCTCGAAGATGAAGCCGGCGGACGAGAAACCGAAATGGAGGGAAGGTATTTTTGTGGGGCTCGTTGACAAAAGCAACGAGTACATCATCGCTACACCTTCCGGTTGCCTCCGGAGCAGCAGTGCGAAGAGAATGAGCAAGGCTGACGCCTCCGACCCAGCGTTGTTTAGGTCGTGTGTTGGAACGCCTTGGAAAATGGTGCCCTCTAGCTTATCAGGGGCATCCCAAGAAGATGCGCCTCTGGCCAGGCCGTTGACAGTGCGGCCTGTTGTCCCAGATCGCGACCTCCCTCCTCCACCTCGTGCCGGCGGAGATCCTCTCCCGAGGAGAGTTTACATTAGAAAGGAGATTGAGTTGAAAAGGTATGGGTTCACTGAGGGATGCTTAGGATGCCAAGCAGCACAGAGAGGAGAGAAGATAGCGAGGAATCATAGCGAGGAGTGCAGGGGGAGGATTCAGAGGGCAATGGAGGCCGAGGGGGGCACGAGGGTAGCAGCAGCCAACGAAAGGAGGGAAGCGGTGACAGTGCCAGCTCCCAGTCATGGCGGCCATCCGCCTCAAGATGTCGCTGGGGACGGGAATCTGGATACGCAAGCTCCTATGGACGTATCCGCCGAGAGCGCCGGAAGCGGCCAAGGTGCCAGCTCTGGCAGTGTGAACCCAATTCGGGTACGGAAGGCGGGGGGCGGTGAAAGTGCCGCTCCCCGCAGTGTAGCTGGAAGCGGCCCCGGTGCCAGCTCCAGTGCAGGACCAGCTAACCCTGGGCCTCCACCCTCCACGCCGTCCATTCGGATGGAGCGGAAGGTTTTGTTTTTCGTGCGAATTCTATATGATTTCGCAGAGTTTTCACGAGATCCTGGAAGTTATGTGAGTTATTAGTTATACGTGCGGGTAGCATGCGGTTACGGCGCCGGCCACCCCATCCCGTCGATGCGGTAGAGGGCCGATCCACGATGTCCGCAAGGGCTGCCCCTCCTCCGACGTTGGACGAACTTCGCCCTCTAGGGGCCCCGTTCC